GGGGGTGGGGGTGGGGGAGGCACCTCTAGAGAAGCCTCCATGGGGATGGATATGAGGCCATGGTTCTCCAAGGATGGCATCATGGATACCTCCAGGTCAGGGTCCATGAGGTGGGACTCCACGTGCACCGAGTGCAGATCCACGCAATCTTCCTGGACCCCGAAGTGCCCCACCAACCTGCATGATGGGCTTGGTCAGCATGATCTTGGTCACTCAGGGCAAGCCAGCCCTAGAGCACAGTGCTTGCAATGCCACTGTGAACTGCACTTCCAGCAAGGTGGCAGAAAGAGAACACAGCTCACCCTTGAGGGCTTCCCCTGGCACACTCACCTGTTGTCCATGTGTTGGGGGCATGTTTCTCTGAGAGGACAAAGGTAGGTGTGAATTCTGGAGCACTGCTTACCCACAATCCCTAGAAACTCCCTCCATATCCCCTACACCCAACACACCAGTCTCAGCCTCTTATGCCATACCACCCAAGGGACAACAGCCTCTCAAAGCATGACTAAGGGCCCAGGGCAGTAACATGGCCTCACTCCCACCACCCCCAACCCCAAGCTCACGCACCCCTTGGCCCGAAAGACGCCAATTGCCACGATGATGAGGGCACAGAAGCAGCTGGCACTGACAGCAGCCAGCACCACAATGAGGGCAATAAGGGCCTCTCGGCTGAGGCCAAGGCTGCATTCACAGTAGGTCCCAGCTGCGGAGAAAGGCCACCAGACCAGAGGACAGTCACTAGCCTATGGAGGACCTCAGTTCCAGCCCCCACCCCAGCAGGTCTCAGAAGTCTACAAATAGCTTGCCCTGCCTAGAAGAGAGAGGGGCTCTAGCTGGGGGGCTCTCGGGAGAAGCACCTGCAACAGGGATGAGCAAAAGGGACAAACATATCAGGCTAAAGGGGCTGCCGGCTGGGCAGGGGTCAGGCTGGGGACAGGGGGCCATGTCCAGCTCCCAGCCCCACCACACACCTCTAGATAGAACTCACTGGATGGTGCTGACCTCACAGTGGGCTTGTGAGGCGCAGGGTGTGGGGGCAGGGTCTCCGAGCACCTAGGCTGACTTCAGCTTCTTTTGCCCTTAGATGCTGTGATTTCAGGAGCCCTCGGCAGCTGGCCCTAGGGTGGAACAGGTAAGGGGAACAGAGTCTGGGAGCTCTGGCCAGATGAGGCAGGTGATGGTCGGGCAAACAGCACTTTCTAGTGAAATGGGTCAGAAACCTATTCTGGTCTCTGGTATGGGGACAGTGGCCTCAGTTTATTCTCTCAACATGAGGGCTGCAGGACTGAGTGGAGACTGCCTGTCCCCAATGAGGCAAGGACGGGACAAGGAGGCAGTGGGAGGAGGGCTGGGTGCATGTGTTGAACTGCTTCGGAAGGCTGGGCTCACATAGCCAACAAAGCCCAGGTTGGAGGGCTGCTGGTACCCCAAGGAATCTGTGATCACCCACTTAGTGGAGGGAATGTGACTGGTCCTATGTGCCTAAGTAGGACCCCAGGCCATAGCCTCAAAATATTCTCTTCAGGGAACAGGTGGCTCAGGAACAGTTGTAGGCTCTGGCTCACATTCTATTAATCAGGGTAAAACGTTCTAAGGGTCTGTTCCCTCTGTAGACCAGACAGCCACTGCCCAACGCAGCCAGTCTTGGGTGCCTGGCATGGTCAGGGTTAACCTACACCTCTGTCCTGAACTTGTTGTCCTAGGCTAGGCTGCAGAGCAACCCCACCCTGTTGCCACTCTTGCCTATGAAGGCCCTGCCAAGCTAACCAAGAGGCAGCAGGAGGAAATGCCAGCCCTGCAGCTGACTGTGCTCAGCCTCGTGCCAGCTGGGGCCCCACAGGTTGTGGGTTGGGGGAAGGCATGGAGGACAATGAATGAGCAGTCTGACCCCAGTGGCTCTGGCCACTGGGAATCTCCTTGACAGCAGACACAGGTACTCTTCTGGGGTTGGTCATCAAGGAACAGCCAGAAGCCCCTGGTACAGTTTTTTGTTCTTGTTGAACGATGTTGAGAACCAAGACTCATTCCTTGGTCTTTAGGGACACATCCAGAAATATACTTTAAAGGAATGCAGGATAGAAAACTGTGCCCAAGGCCAGGGGCTGGCACTGTCACCCTGCCAGGCCAGCCTAGCAGGTTTGCATCCTGGTTAGGACAAAGGCACACCCACCTGTGGCCAGGTGGTGCCAACCAGATAGGAACACTCTGTTGAAGGGACTTCAGGGCCCTACTGTCTAAACTAAGAGGAATCCCTCTTCTTGCAACAACACTGAAGTTGGGGGAGGGAGTCCCTTAGGGCTAGAGGAGAGTAAACCCCATTTCTGTGGTGCTGGCTACTAGCCTTCCTAGGCCTATGAAAGCTTTAGGCTATGGCCAAGGCTGTGTGCCTAATACCTGCTTCCACTCCTTTAAACCCTGAGGCAAGCAGATACCTCTAGAACAGAAGGGTGAGGGGAAACTCTTCAAGAAGACTTCTGCTTAGGACCTGAGTACAGGACAGGCCAAAGCTGAACACTGGGAATGAGAGGAGCAGCACTCAGAGGACTGGGAAAGGCTATCTGAGGGTAGCGGCAGCAGCTGAACTTGGGTGTGGCTTGTGGCCTGGGAGTCACCACAGACAGGACGACAAGCAAGCAATGGTTCCAAAGGGCCTTTGTTTCCTTAGAGAATAGTGCCTCGTATCAGGGCTTTCCTGCCTGAAAACAGCTGTTCTGGACAGAGGCTGAAGCTCCACCAGATCCTATAGCCTCAGGCCAGTGAGGACCCCAGGGGTGAGGACAGAATCAATCTCCTCAACTGGTATGTGGGACAGAACCTGCTCCCAAGGGTGATTGAACCCTGACATGATTCCTGGGCTCTCCTCGCACCCCTGCCCTTGTCCTGTACTTGGGACCACAGGTCTGGGGGACATGGGAGAATCTAAGTACACACTTGTAAGCCCCAAGCACTGTGGTCACACATCTGGATAGGAGAAGGGAACAGAGTTCTAATCCTCTGGTTACTAGGACATGTCCTTAAGCAGCCCTCGACTTGAGATGAGGGAATCCCTTGACTCAGGTCATCTCACCTCGGAGGATCTAACAAGTACCAGCGTCCTAGCAGCACCCAGCCTGGCATGAACTCCGTATAGGCTGCTCAGAAGGGAAGACCCAAGAGTTCCTTTCAAAGGCCAGAAAGGCAGGTTGGAGCTGTAAGTCTAGCCCAGGAGACTAGGCAGCCAACCCTGTTCACTCTTACTAGAGCCACAGGCCCCAGCATGGACTCAAGGCTAGCTACTGAGGACAGTGCAAGAGGTTCTCTAGCACAAACACAGAAGTGCAGGCTGCAGTGTCTGGCTGCTTAGGTGGTCCCCTTACCTGCTGCTGGGAGTCTAGCATTCTGAGGTCGAGTGGCCATAGAGGGAAAATTTGGATGTGTCCATGAGGCCCCACAAAACTACCAGGACATGAAAGGTTAAACCAATCTGCTTTAATCTGTACTCTTGAAGAGCAGGCAGGGGATGGGGGAGAGGGCTGGGCACAGGGACTCTCCATCCAGGGGGGACACAGGCATGGATGCTGTGGGTCAGGGCCTAGCAGGAGCGATCAGCTACAGCTCTTAGGCAGGCGGTAGACACCTGCAGAGTAGATGAGCTGCTGGTCACGGACCTTCTTCTGCAGGTAACCCTGGAGCTCCTGCAGGTCAATCTCAGCCAGCGCTGGGCCAGTCATCACGAACATGCGGAGCATACTGTAGATGCGCTCTAGCGAGAGGCTCTCTAGGTTGGTCAACATGGCTTGGATGTAAGTCCAGAAGAGCTACGGACAGAAGCCAGGCATGGTCAGTCAGGCTGCCTCCTGAGCCTACCCCCAACCCACTGTGGAAGTAGTCAACCTACCAACAACTCTTCCTCCTTTTGGTCAGCCTGGGAGGCCATGCCAGAGTCACTCTCATCATCGCTGTCAATAAGCACCATGTTGTCTCGGTCCTGAGGCCGCTCTTCCTCAATGACAGAGAAAGTGCCTGGAGGCTCCTCTCGAAGCACACCCTGCTGCAGCCACACTGACATGCGCCTCCGCAGCAGTGCCACAGGCATCTTCACCACCTTGCTCAGCTCCTCTAGAGTCCAGCTGGCTGTGTGCAGAGCCACAGGGATGCAAGGTACACTGGAGGAGGCTGTACCTTTCCTATTTCCTATCAGTACAGCTGGGCCTCCAGAGGGACCCACATTGTCCTGAGAGAGGAGGTTGCTGCCCCAAATCCTGCCCACACTGGGATGCAGTGTATCATTTCATAGCTCATTAGAGAGCAGTACCTGGCTCTGGCCCCAGGGTGGTGTGCTCAGGGCAGTACAGGTGGGGTTCTAGGGACTCACCTTGGTCCTGGAAATAGAGTAAAATTACTGCCTGCACAGGGGTCACGGCCACAGACAGGGTGCGGTCAGCCAGCTCTACATCCATTGTCACTAGGCCCAGGGTATGTTTCCAGCTGAGGGTCCTCATTGCCTGGGCAAGAATCAGTAAGAACAGCCCAGTGGGTCCTGGTCAAGTCCAGCTGAACAAGGCATAGTAAATGCCATGCTACCTGCACCCTGTGAGGATGGCACCTCTGGTAGGCAGGTGGTCAGCAACAAGATCAGTTCTGGTCCCCAGATCCTAAGCCACCATGATCTAGCAATGGGCACCACTGATAAATATCTATAGTGCCCCCCAACAAAAGACACAGCCATGTCTAGTATCTCAGAATGTGAGCTATTTGTAAACAGCTATTTGTATTGACATAATTAGTTGAGATGAGATCACACAAAAATAGGGTGATCCCTAATCTAAGACTGGTGTCCTTATAAGAAAAGGAAAGACAAAGTCAATACACAGGCACAGGGGTGGCTACGTGAGGCACAGAGTATGGTGTGATGCAGCCAGGAACACACAGAGCTGCTGGTCAATACCAGACACCAGGGAAAGGAAGGGAGAACTTTCCTAAAGGTTTCAGAAAGAGCACAGTCCTGCCAACACCTTGATATTAGACTTCTAGTTTCCAGAACTGAGATGACATATGTTTGTTATGGGGTTTTGGGTTTTTCTGTTTGAGTCAGGGTCTCACTATGTTTGATTGGCCTAGAACTCACTTTGTAGACCAGGCTGGTCTCAAACTCACAGAGGCCATCGCCCCAACCTCTGTTCCCCAAGTATCAGGATTAAAAGCATGTGCCACTATGATCGGCATATTTATTTATTTATTTATTTGGAGAGTGTCTCACTATATAGCATTGACTGGACTGCAACTTGTTATAGACACCAGGCTAGCCTCCAACTCAGAGATCTGCCTGCCTCTGCCTCCTAAGTGCTGGGATTAAAGGCATGCATTTTACCATACTCAGCCTGATTCAGATATTGAGATTTAGAACTTTGTATTAACATTTAGAAGGTTTTTTTTTTTTGTTTAGGTTGTATGTGAGACAAGGTCTTACTATGTAGCCGAGGCTGGCCTTGACCTATCTATTTTTCTTTTGCTTTAGTCAGTGCTAGGATTATAGATGTGCACCACACCTGGACTAGTAGAGATTTTGGGTAGAGTTGATGCTCGTCCAGGAGCTCTGTTGGTGGCAGATAGAGGAATTGTGGACATGGGCCTAACTTCTTAGCAGAGCCCCAGGGGCCACCAGAGCCATTCCAGTGTTCAGCTGGAATTAAGATGAAGGACACAAGAGAATGTGGCTGTCCTAACCCTTCAGGTATAACAAGAAAAGTGTGGATGAGCCATGTCTGAGACCCAGGGTGGGACCCCAGCATGGCTAGCAGGTATCTCACACCACAGAAACAGCCAGAGGAGCATAGGGAGAGGGTATTAAGTACACTGGACTGGGCACTCAGAAGTCCTCAAGAAGTGTTACGGCTGTGGTGCTCAAAGACTGTGCCCACACACATTGCCATAGTACGTACCAGAGCAGGAAGCACTGGGTAACCAGTAGCCTACCTTTCTACTTGGTAAGAGTGAGGGCCACAAAGACCATATCTGCACTGTTGTAGAAACTGAGCCAGGGGTAGGGACGGCCAGGTATTCACAGTCATAGGCACAGTGTTTCTCCTTAGCCTCCCCAGTCAGGTCCCTCCACCTGGGCCCCATTTTGCTTCCTCTGGAAGAAAATATTCTTGAGTTCTCAAAGCAACTTGCTCAGGGACACAGATCCTCAGCCTTAAGCATGGCAAGGCCTTCGGTTTGCAGGAAGAAATATACCTAGACTCAGCACTTCCCCCATCACAAGATGCTACAGATGCTTCCATGACACACCTGTGTCCACCTCTGCCTGACCCCTTCAGGGCCCCACATGCTCCTTGAGTTGGGGTCTGCCACCTGGTTGCCTGTGTCCCGTAACTCTCCTCTCAGCATCACTGTGCCAGAGCACCCACTAGCCTATATCCTGTGACATGGAATATATTGTAATGTTTGTCAGACTCTTTCTTCCCCTGCCATAACTGACTACAAGCTCAGGAGTAAGGATCCTTGAACCTGGCCATACCACCCACTGGGACTCCAGCTTCCAGAACATCTGGGCTCAGCTATGCTACCCAGAGATGTGGGCCACATGGCCAACTCTATCACCCTAGGAGTTGAGGGGATGAGCACAGACAAGCTACTGAAAGTCCCACTGCTGTACCTTCAGTTTCTCATACTTCTTGCAGTAAACCTCCAGGGCAGCCCTGATGTCCTCAGGGACCTCCAGCTTCTCATCCTTGAAGGGAGGCCAAAATTCACTGGACAGGATGACGGCATAGACACCAAAAGGTGGCTGCTCCTCCACAGGTCGCTTCTCATCCTCCTCTCGGATATTGGCATTGATGCGGCGGGAATCTGCCATATCCTGAGAAGAGGGTATCTCATCAAGGCCCTGGGCTGAAGGGGGCAGGCAGCTGGAGGAGGAGTCCTGGACATTTACCTTGAGCATGACCTCACAGAAGTGCATGGGGGCTTCTCCAAAGCGTAGCTTCAACAGCTCCACATTTCGGATCTCCCTGGAAGGACAAGTTTCTAAGTGGGGCTGCAGTGTGCCCCCACCCCAACTGGTACCCACAGCAGAGAGTATGCCCAGGCACCCACTCTAGAGTAAACCTGGACTAGAGGGAAGGCATGGAACACCACACTAGAGCCAGAGGTCAGTCATCCTGGCCAATAGAGGGCAGCACCAGCTAATCAGGTGTACACAGTCCTCCAAATACAGAATAAAGGTCCTTGGCTGCAGAAGGCCCAGGAGAGGCCCTAGCACCCCTGGAGGTCAGTCAGACCCTTGCAGACCTCACCTCTCAGGACTAAAGCTGAACTGGTGGAGGAGGCGATCGGCCAGCAGTGAACGGTATTCATTGATAAAGAGGTCCTTGCTGCCATAGATGCTGACCAGCAGGCTGATAATGTCCGAAGAGCGCCGCTTAGAACTTGACTTTCCTGGCACAGAATGGGGAAGGGGACATACCACTGGCACCTTGAAAAGGACAGTGACACCTCAGAGCTCACCTGTTGGACATAGCAGTCCAGCACAGCCTGGACGACTCATTTCTCAATGACCCAGGTAGCTGGGGGTAATATGCCCCCCAGAAGACCTATGGTTGGTTCCTAGGGCAGCTCCTCTGACCCCTAATGACTGCCTTACAGGTACCTCCTTGGGTTCCCACTCAGCCTTAAGGTACAGAACAATGGCTTTTTTTTTTTTGGTCTTTTTGAGACAGGGTCTCCCTGTAGCCCCAGCCATCCTGGAACTCACTATGTAGACCAGGCTGGCCTTGAACTCTCAGAGATCCACCTGCCTCTGCCTCCCAAGTGCTGGGATTAAAGGCGTGCGCTCTTTTAAAAGTATGGTTTATGGGTCTGGAGAGATGGCTCAGCGGTTAAGAGCACTGACTGCTCTTGTAGAGGACCAGGGTTTGATTCCCAGCACCACATGGTGGCTATGAACCATCCTTAACTTAAGTTCCAGGAGAATCGAAGCTCTTTTCTGACCTCCATGGCACTGCATGACACGGGTGCACTCACATACATGCAGGCAATACACTCATACACATAAAATAACAATAAAATATTTTTTTTTAAAAAAGTAGGTTTATGACAAGACCTGAGCAGGGAAAAGAGACCATGGCTTCAGAGACCCAGCAGAATGGGGCCAGGCATGAGACACGACCAAGGATGCTACCCTAATCTTTTGAGTCCCAGGACAAAATCACAGCCAGAAGCAGGGTAGAGACGTCTCATGAATATGTTCTCCCACCAGTTACCACCCACAAGGGCACCTTCTGTAGCTGAGGTGGCAGAGATTGCAAGAGCATAGAGCAAGCTGGCTGGTGTTAAGCATGGCTGTGTATGACTTTTACTCCTCAAGCTTGAGGCAGGGGCTGCTCCTGATATAGCCAGGCATCAGTAGCAACAAGTATGACCAGAGCCTAACAGGCCCACAAAGAAGCCCAGGAAGGAACTGAAAGAGTTCAGTGGGTAAACTGACCTGGATCAGCATCCACAGGATCAGGGACCCAATCCTCAGGCTCGCCAGAATCATCCTCGCTGTCCTGGCCAGTCTCCAGGTTGGCTGGATCAGTCTTGGACAACTCAACAGCCAAGTCCCCAGTCCCATCTGAGTCCCCCGTCAGCCCAGCCACAATCTGCCGCACTGTGTCCTCTCGTGTCCTGCCAGGATTGAGTTCTGTTGTCCCCCAGTGTGCATAGTCATCCTGACACTTGCTGTTTCCCATCCCAGTGTGGCCAATGCTCAGTCATGTACTAAGGACAGGCCCATCTGACTTTTTGAAAAAAAAAAACACCCATCACTGCTCTGGGAAAAGCAATGGCTGAGAGAGGCTCAATGCCCAAGAAGCAGAAAACCTGAGTCCAGGGCAGACATCTGACACTATCGGCCTCTGCTGATCAGGTTCTGGGGTCACTAATCCCTAAGCCTGGGAACTCTACTACCAGAGGGCTTTTGGGGCAGCTGTTTGATCAAAGAACCTCTATTCAAACATGTCACCTACCAAAGAGGCCACAGAAGTTCCTAAGAACAGTGTTGAGGCCAGGTCTCTTTCTGTTCTTTCATGTTTGGTCAGCAACAAGGCCAGTAGCTGTTGATAAACCTTTCTGTGCTGGGGTTGGGGCAGTCAGGCCCCGACTGTTGCACAAAAACAGAGCATGGTAACACCATATGGCAACAAGGATGGCCACCTAGCACTGGCAAAAGGAAAGAAGTCCTTAGCCTGGGCTAATCCAGACCCATCCAGGAGAAGCCTCATCTCCATGGTTGCATGAGGGCTGACAATCACACAGCTCAGTAGGCTCTCACCTCAGGTATCGGCGGATGGGCTCACAAGCCACCTCCAAGATGACCATGGAGGGGTCCAACACACGAAGTGCCTTGATGGCAGAGATGTACAGAGTGATAATGTCACATGTGTTGACACCTACAGTGGGGAGAAGGGGCCAGAGATCACGTGGGGCCTTGGATAGCAGCCTCTTGGGTGCCAACACCTGAACTGGCAGCTGGCCACAATGGTCAGGTGACCACTGTGATCCTCATTTCTTAGGGGGCCAAGATTGTAGGGAGCTACTCCCTGGGCCCTACTATCACCATTCAGAGACTATTCATAGGCATAGTCTCCAGAACTTTCCAAGAATCAGTCTGATGGTTTAAATCTAGACTGTGCCCTGCAGGCTTGTGTTTTGTTGCTTAGCATCCAACTTGCAGTGCTTTTTTTTTTTTTTGGTGTTTTGAGACAGGGTCTCCCTGTAGCCCCAGCGGGCCTGGAACTTACTACGAAGACCAGGCTAGCCTTGAACTCACAGAGATCCACCTGCCTCTGCCTCCTGAGCACTGGGATTAAAGATATGCGCCACCACGCCCAGCCTTTGTGGTGCTATTTTATTCATTATTATTATTTTTTAAATTTTATGTGTATGCATGTATTGCCTGCATGTAGGTAAGTGCACCCATGTCATGTAATGCCCACGGAGGTCAGAAGAGGCTGTTGGATCCCCTGGGACTGGAATTTTACGGACAGTTGTTAGCTGCCTTGTGGGTGCTGGGATTTGAACCTGGGTGTTCTGCAAGAACAACGAGTGTTCTTAACCACTGAGCCATCTCTCCAGCCCCTGTGGTGCTATTTTAAAGGTAGGGCTTAGCTGGTGAAAGGAGATCAAAACGGGACCTTTGAGTTTCTTGTCTGTCATCATATGAACAAGGCATCATGCCCTTCCCACCAGGGTGGACTGTAACCCTCTGAGACCAAGAGTCAGAATAAATCCTTTCCCCTTATATTAATTTTGTTATGTATTTGTACATGGCAACACAAAAGTAAATACACAAGCCTTCCCTCCTGCCTGGCAGCCTGTTTTGAAAAGACCACATACAACGCCCAGACTAGACAGGCCCTAACTTCCTCCAAAGATAGATGAACTCACCCCACAAGAACCTCAAAGAACGTCCCAACCCACTCCTTCCTCAGGTCTATAAATCTGGGGTTAGGTACAGCAGGTGATACCTGAAGGCTAAATGGCCAGTACACAGTGGTCACATGTGGTACCTGGGTGGAGGAGCCGAGTCTCTAGGGCTGCCTTAAGAGAAATGAGCAGCTGTTGCCTCTGGTCTGTCCTCTCCAGGCAGTACTTGAGGTCCTCAACAGCTGGCCGAGAGTCTGGGAAGTCTGAAAAGTCCATGGCACAGGGATGGTGAGTAGAGTTGTAATAGGTAGTGAAGGACATATACAGTGTAAGATACACAGTCCTGCAGGGCCTGGCTAAGAGTCATCCATCAGGCACAGGATGTCATCCTGCATACTTTTTCTTCACTCTAAAATTTATTTTCATAGCTGGGTGTGGTGGCGCACACCTTTAATCCCAGCACTTGGGAGGCAGAGACAGGTGGATCTCTGTGAGTTCAAGGCCAGCCTGGTCTACATAGTGAGTCCCAGGACAGCTGGGGCTACAGGGAGACCCGTCTCAAAAAGCATGCACAGAGCCTCTTCCAAGCCACATATCTAAGGGCTAAAGATGTTACATGTGCTTCAAATCAGCTGATCTCTAAACTCAGTCAAAACTAGCTACTTCACCCCACAGTTTCCCTTTCCCTGGGAGTTGTCATGGCAGCTAACAACTGTCTGTAACTCCAGTTCCAAGGGATCCGACAGCCGCTTCTGTCCTCCGTGGGCACTGTGCGATACAGGTGCACTTACCTACACGCAGGCGATACCCACATACACATAAAATAAAAATAATAAAATATTTAAAATTTACTTTCAATTTTTATGTACATGTTTGCCTGCATGTGTCTATGTGTACCATGTGTGTGCTTGGTGCCCAAAAGTCCAGAAGAGGGCATTTTGGATACCCTGGAGCTGGAGTTACAGGTTGCTGTGAAGCACCATGTAGGTGCTGAGAACCAAACCCAGGTCCTCTGCAAGAGGAGTATGCACTCTGAACACTGAGCCATCTCTCCAACCCCATCCTACACATTGGTACATATGGACACTTGACCATAATAACCCCACACTGCAGAGAGAGTGATACCCATGGGCCAGTCCCAAGCAGGAACCAAGACAGAAGGGAGACAGGTGGATACCCAGAAGCACCTGTCTAGTGCCCTGACCTAGACCCAAGGCCATGGCAGACAAAGTCCAGCTCTGATTAACTTACCACCCTGCTAATAATTGGAAGGGAAATAACAGGAAGCCACTAGAAAACCCTCCAGATAAGTAGATAGGGCCTGACGAGTGGGAGACAGAACCAACCTCGGATGATGCTGAAGAGTTCCTCAATACGAAGGCCAGCGTAGATGCGGTAGAAGAATCTCTGTACGTGGCAGCGCCAACGGCGCAGCGTGTTCCCAGCCTCTGGAGATGCTGGCCTAGTGGGGCTGTCCTGCAGGAAAACCTTGCCAAGCCAGCCAACTACCCTTTCGATCCACTGTGGGGAACACTGATATGTGAGGCTGGTAACATTTAAAAACTCCAGCCTGACCCAGCAATTACTCAGTTTTTGGCAGGGCCCTACAGAGCCCCAAAGGCCACCCATGTCTAGAAGTCAGAAGCATCAAACCTACAGGATAACAGAACCAAAGAGGCATTCATGATGCCCTGTCAGTCTTCAGCAGTCTTAGGCCCATCAGTGCTCATGCTTATTTCTGGCAACAGTGATCCTAGTTTGAGATGGTGGCACACGTGGCCTGTGTTGTGCCTAGTAGGGCTCAGTGCAGCTGCCCCAAGAGCCTTCAGGCCAACATTGTGGGACACCCAGTTTGAACACTCCCCACCCTAGCTAATGTATATTCATAGGGGACAGATACCAGAAAAACTGGGAGGTCATGGAAGAAGGTAGGTACAGGGCTTCATATGGCTGTGTAGCTGCCTTCCTTGTGCCTAGCGCTCTGCTAAGAGTTAAGAGATTTCTTCAGGCTTTGCTGGTGTAGAGGCTTGAGGGAGGTGATGTCTGTTCCCAGGATACTGGGTGTTAAGACACCTGTTTCTGGGATGCTGGGAAGAGGCTGTCATATCCCTCATCCTGTCTGTGCATGTATCAAAGGAGGTCTGTTAGTGGGCCAGTCACCATGGCCTTGGGTTTATAGTACTGTTTTCTTACTATAATGATGGGAAAATTCCTATGTGTTTTGCACTGCTTGAGCATATAAACTCTGTGTAAACTTTCAACACTAAGCTTTCTAAATAAATTTTCTGAAGAGAGCAGTAAAAAATGCTCCCAAGTGGCACAAGCCTGTGAGATGCCCAGTCTGAATTTGTTTTGTGGCACCAGTCACAGCAGAGCGTCTACACGGCTGGATCCAGCTTTTCCACAAAGCTAGCAACCCATAGCAGAACCACAGACCATATCTCAACAGTATGGGCAATTAGAGGCCTTCACCGGGACTAACTCCAAAGGCTGACTGTAGGTCAATTCACAAGGGAACTATCAAGTGAGCACATTTTCTAGGACAGTGTAGAGGAAAGGGTCTGATGGGCCTGGCCTTGCCACATATGCCTTGGGAAACCCCCTGACCTTCACAATGCTTCCAGCCACAGAATTCTGCACATATCTACTTAACATATATTAGACTCATCCTTGTCACTGGGGCCCGGACTGGCTTCTACACAGCACCAAGAAGACCTCAGCCCTCACCACTTCTGGTTTACCTTACTGCTAGGCGTCAGTTCTGCCACAAACCTGTTTCTGTCCCCTAACAGGGCACAGCCCACGGAAGGGACACTTACCTTGTGGAACTCCCGCAGGAAGGAGCGCTCATACTCGCCTCTGCAGCGGTCTTCCATCCTCTCCCGGGTCACCTGATGCAGAGTGGTGGTCACAGCCTCAGCACTGACCCGCTCCAGCAGACTGAGCCTATGCCTGGAGGAAAGCCCTGCTCATGGAGCACCCACAACACACATCTGCCCCCTCACCCTGATGGCCCTGCCTATAAAGGAAATACAGTGCACACAACCCACACCAAGGGCTCAGTGCGTATTTCTCTCCTGCCTCCTGGGGTGGACAACACACGAAGGGTTTCAAGCTACTGAAAATTGCCTTCTCTGCCCAGCTGGCCTCAGCTCAGGCTGAGACACTGGCCTTCCCCATGTGATCAAAGGCACCAGATGTGGCTATGAAGGTTCAAGCCTCACAGAGAAAAGGCTGCTTTCCAGCTGCTGCTGTGTGTGCTCCCAGCTCAGACTCCACTCTACAGTAACAAATAGGACTTGAGAGAGAATGAGGAGATTTCCAAACAACTTTCACCTGGGATGAATCCAGCAGGAGCTGTCAAGGCCTTCCTGACTCCTACCAGTAAGAGGGCCTCTCCTCCACTTAAAAGACACTTCCAAACTGCTGCATCTCTGACCTTTTTTCAGTGTAACAAATCATCAAAAATGGACTGAAAGGGTGTGACATTAGAAGGTTACAACGGACCAAAAAACAAAACCTTTTTCTCTCAAGGAAGGGAAAGAAATCCTCTTGCCCATACAATGGCCTGATTTCCCTGATAGATTCTGAGAAACAAACCGGCAAACCTACTGTCTAGAACTATAGGACAGGGACTCTCATGAGTTCATTAACTTTTGCCATGCCCCTGGCTATCAGAACAGGTGGAGGAGACCTCACCGGCCAGTTTACTAGCTCTTTGCAGAGGTCTGCTGGATCCAGGAGAACGGGCGGCCCGAGGAACGAGGACATGGTCAGGTAGCTGTACTCACAGGACCTGGCTGAGCTGGTGGAACTGCTCCAGTGCCTGGCGGCACCAGCACTGCTGCTTGTCACTGCCACATCCTGCACACAGAGGGCTCTGCAGGAGCCGGTAATACCTGCGGCGGGCATAGCGGCTATCCAATTCCCCCTCCAGTTCAGGGTCTGTGCCCCCTTCCCCTTTTCTCTTGCTCTGCATATAGACTCTCAGAAAACGGCCATAAAGGCGCTGGACCATCTCCTGGAAGGTCCTGGGGGTGGAAAAGAACAAGACTCCCCGCAACATGGTTTGGACTTTTTCCCGAAGCCCCTGAGCTCCAGTGCCCATCAGCAGGCCCAGGCGAGTCCATTTCTCCAGGAGTTCCAGGCTACGCAGGTAGGGATCTAGGCGGCTCTCCAGCAGACCGAACGCGTCGAGGAGCAGCAGAAGGCACTGGGGTTCATCGACAGAGTTCTCGCGCTGGGAGATGGCATTCCAGAACTCAGGGGCGATGTTGGCCTGCAGGTCGTTCTGCAGCACCTCCACGAACCATTCCTCCAGGATAGAGTGCAGACCATGGCCCCTAAGAACCTCCACCGCCGCTCGGAGCTCCTCCTCCTTCGGGGGGACCGAACCGCTGGTCCGGGAAGATGCCTGGAGCAGGGAAAACAGTGAGAAGGGAGAGGGAGCGGCGAGGAGGAAGGAGGGGGTAGGAAACCCCGCTGCGGCCGTCCGCAGTCGGTGCTAAGGAAGGGCTACCCGGGAGCCAAACGAAGCGGATAGGTGAAGGAAGCAGGCCTGCTAGGGACCCGAAGGAGGACGCCCTAAAGCGTGAAGCGGCCTGAGCCGCGCACCGGCCCGCTGCCCTTTCCCGGGCCTCACCAGCCCCAGCGCAGCCGTCGGCACCAAACCGGAGCTCACGGTATTCCAGGCCACTAGGAGCTCCTGTCCAGGCCCGGGGTCGCCATCCACGGCCGGAGCCGCCGCGGCCGCCGCACCAGCCGCGGCCTCCATCAGCTCCAGCGAAACAGACCCGCCCAGCGCAGCGTGCGGTGCTGACGCACGGCTGAGTCTGGCGCGCCGCGGTGACGCGCATCCGCACGCCGAGGACGGCGGTGCGCAGGCGCGGGCGAGGCAGTGGCGGCGGCGGTTGGCGCTTTGGTTGGATGGTACTCACCATGACCCAACAGGGTGCGGCGCTGCAGAACTACAACAACGAGTTGGTCAAGTGTGAGCGGCGAGGGCGGGAGGCCGAGGGTCGCGAGCAGGGGTCGGGGCTGTGGGCCAGAGTTGGGATTGGCATCGCGGGCCGGGGTCGGGGCTGCCGGCGCCCGGGTTCCGGCCCGCAGGTCCTGGCAGCCGCACACGCCTTCGCGAGGCCTGCCTGTGGTCGGGGTCCTAGGTCACCGAACCCCCATCGTCAGCTCTGTCTCCTGGGCTCACCCTAGGCATCGAGGAGCTGTGTCAGAAGCGGGAGGAGCTGTGCCGTCAGATCCAGCAGGAGGAAGATGAGAAGCAGCGGCTGCAGAATGAGGTGAGGCAGCTGACCGAGAAGCTGGCCCAAGTCAACGAGAACCTGGCGCGCAAGATAGCCTCCCGCAACGAGTTTGACCGGACCATTGCAGAGACGGAGGCTGCCTACCTCAAGGTGGGGTTCGCAGCGGTCAGTGCCTCACTAGCGGCTGAGGCTAGGGCTCATTGAGGATTTGAGGCTGTAGGGGGGACAGTGGGACTGTTTGGGGTTTAAGAGAGTGAGCAGCCGTGTGTTGGGAAGAATACACAGAGTGGATATTTATATCCCAGCCTGGTTTTTGCAGGGTGGGAGGAAGAGGTATGGGACAGACGCCAGAGAGAAGATGGTCTCACCCACCCTGTGACCTGTTGACAGAAGGCCAGATTTCCACACTTCAGTGTGAGAGGCTGTGGTAGTGGGATCTTCCCAACCCGAAAAATAACAATCTTTTCATTTCTGTGGCCCCAGATCCTTGAGAGCTCGCAGACTCTGCTTAGTGTCCTCAAAAGGGAAGCTGGGAACCTGACTAAAGCCACAGCCTCAGACCAGAAGAGTACTGGAGGCAAGGACAGCTGACAAGTGCCTGTCTCATCTGTGGCTCATGGCAGCCCAGTCCCAGCATGTCTGTTGTAAAGTGTTCTTTGTGGCCTCAGATGCTTAGGTCTTAGGTGCCCAGAGGGGCAGCTACTGACCTCCACCCACCTTGGATTATAAGAAAAGCCTTAGGCACAGCTAACCTGGGGGCAGAGTTCCTGGGTCTGTTCTCACTTGTGCTGTGGGGACACTGGGCTCCAGGTCAGCTCTACAAGGGGCCTCTCTCTGAAGTTCCTGTATTCCTTTGGGCTGACAAGGAGGTCCTGGGTCTGGCCCTAGAACTGTGGGAGCCCCTCACTCTGTCTCCTTAGCCAATGGGGGCCCAGGCCAGGCAGATGGAGGAGAGGACTTCCACTCCAGAACCCAAACCATAGGGCTCACCCTCATGGCCTCTGATTGTTGTCAATAAAGGTTGTCTTTGCAAAGATCTGTGGCATCTTGCTGCCTCTCCTGAGTGTGGACTGTCAGACTCCTATAGAACCAAAGCACAAGTTCTATCCAGCTGCCATCTCTGTTTCTGGGAGGTAAGAGGGCCTGCAGGAGTTTTCCCTGTGAGTATCCCCTATCTTCAGAACACAGAACTGAAGTTGCCCACCTTACCCAGGCCAGCCTGAATCCTTAACTCTCCTTGCAGGGCTGCTGGTCCCCTTCCCCGAGTCCAGCACACAAACTACCCCCCAGGTATAGCTGGGCTCTGCTATACTTGGTGTCCAGCACAAAGCCTGACCCAAAGACAGCTAGCTATTACAGAGTCCACACTATGTGTTCTGGGTCTAGGTCCCTCAACAAGGAATGGGGGCGGGGGATCTTCCTCAGTGCCAATCTTTTTGGTCCAGTACACTGCTACTGCTGCCAGGACCCACCTTTTTCCAACCACAGGTTGGATACTTCCCTCTTTCCATGTGTCTTGGGGATCCATTGTAAGCATCTGTGGGTTGCCACAGCTGCTCACGGGTGAATTTAGAAGTATTTGTTGACCAAGAGGATCCAGGAACCAGGTGTGGAAAGTATCCTTGAAGCTGGGTTTACCCCAGTCCCAGAGAATCACACCCAACATTATTCCTTCTGGGGCTCATCAAACTTCATTATCTGTTCTTAGGTGACCAAGGGAAAAGGACATTTGCATTCAGTGCCTGTGACAGTTTGCTTGTGTATCTAGATGACCCAAACTCTACACTGTGATTGTGGCTGCCCGGGCCACTGAGAGCACAGCTGTCAAGCTGGCAGCCCAGCTTTTCCCTAGACTCCTAGGAGCTCTCTGTTGTCATAGTCTTGCTCCAGGTTCATAGGTCAGGGGTTTCCAAGCCAAACATGAGACAGGATCTCCAAAGTTCCACTTAGCCCCCGTCCTGTGCCATATATACACTACCCTACTAGGCTCCTAATCTCTGAGTGAAGCCTGTCAGTTCTAACACTCACCTTTCTCCCACCTGACATATAGGCCCCTGGGTCATGGAATTCCAGATCCTAGAAAGCAGACCCACTTCCCACTTCCTACTGTGCCAGCTCTGAGAGGCTCACAGGTAGAGAGTAATAGGCTATGGAGGTGGGGGGCAAGAGCCTGGGCCAGTAGGACCTCAAGGAGTGAGAATACAGACTGGGGCTACCTTTTGCCTCTTGGCACAAGTGTCCAAACTAGCCACCCACCCTGCTCTTGGACTGAGGACTGTAAAAAAGGCAAGAATGGCCTTGTTTAGTGCTGTTTATTGAGTCCAACATCAGAGGCATGGAAAAAAACCTGCCATCTATCACAAAGAGTTATCAGTTCTATCATGCTAGAAATGTAGGCTGAGTGCAGGGACTAGGAGTTCTTCGAACAGCCAGGAGAGCCATTCACCCCAGACATGCCCAGCAGTAGTGAGGCTCAAAGTAGGAGCTGAGAAGCAGCTGTGGTGGCGGGAAAGGCAGCACCCTAGGGCAGGATGTGACCCAGCTCCTATCTGGTCATAGATGGGCTACTGTGGACAGACGTCAGCCTGTCCCACAGGCAATTCCCCATTTCTGTTCTTCCTCAGAGCCCCCAAACAGAGTAGTGAGACTCAGACCTGGCCCTAAAGACAGGAAAGAACAACAGGGAGGGAGGGAAGCAGAGCCAGGTGAAGGGGCACAGGATGAAGACAGGGCTCCTAGACATCGACTGGCTCCCAGGACCATCATGTGTAGGACTAAGACTTGGCCATCCTGTTAGCTCCAAGGCTCAGAAATAGAGGGCTGGCTCACTTTGGAAGTCTGAGAGATCATTCTGACCGGCAGGTGTGAGCTGAGAGAAAGTACAAAATACAGTTATCAAGGCTTATCCAGGCATCAGCCCCTTCCCCATACCATATAGCCCTTGGTGCTTATGGGTCTCTACCCCCTGCTCCACTTGACTCACCATGACCTCCTTCAGTGGAAGTTCTGCCTCACTTGGAGCCTGCACCAGTGCCTGCTCCTGCCACTTGCTGAAGGCCATAGAATGCTTAGGGGTGTAGCTGGATAGGCCTGTGGACCAAAGATCATAAACATGGATATCTGGAAGTGTGACCCAGGTTCCATTCCCATCTCAACAAATGGGTACTCACCTGAGCTGCCATCTGGTAGCCGGGGACTCTCAGGTCCCACACTGCTCACAAATGTGGCCCGGGGTAGGAAGAAGGCAAAGGGCTTCTCTGAGCCAGGCCCCCCTTCCTCCTCTTCACCATCTTCTCCTTCCTCTTCCTCCTCTTCCTCCTCCTCTGCATCTTCCTGTACCAGGGAGCTCTCAGAAGGATACTCGAATGTTGTATGTAGGCTCTTGTCATTGAAGGAGATCTTCATCTAGGAATGAGCAATGTCAGCAGGAGCCCCACCACCCAGCTAAGCACAGAGATGCTGAGCAGCACCACCAGCCCTTCAGAGATGTGCAGACGGAGAAAACCCTTCTACCAAGAGCTATAGGCCCCACCTATCCCCTCCACCCTCTGCCTGCAGCAGTTCCTAAAGCCAATTCCATGTCCTGGGTTTCTGGGCACCCACACAATCCTGAGCACAAATACCACACTACCAGGGGCTTGCTTGAGAGGCTGGTACCCACAAAGTCAGAGTCAGGCATAATCACCCATTTTACAGGCTGAGTAGAAAATCCCACTTCCACAGAGTCTGTGGTACCAGCAAACCCCATCAGTGAGCCCTAACTCCCACCCTTACCATGTACCTCATAGGCTCCAGAATTTTTATTTCAGGAAAAATTATCTCCCACTAGCCTGGGCTGCTGGTTCTGAGAGGCAAGAGAGCTGTGAGCACCCTCTGTCATGATCCTCCTGCCTGTTACCTGGACTGGGAGCCCCACCTCAAGGCCTGGGTGTGCTGGGTGGGGACCCAGTATTGCTGAGGTCCCCCACTTAGCTGAGCTCTCCTTGGTGGATCAGTAATGAACATGAGCACTCACTCGCCTACAGCAGATGGAGCAGTTTTGCTGGGCTCGAAATATTAAACTCTCGGGCACAAGACACCAGCAGCCAGCTCAGGTTCCCCCTCTTCCTCTGGAAGGAACCAGAGGCCCAGCAGGATAGAAGAGTAGCCTGGTAGGAGGGCTGAACCTATCCTGAAGTAGCAGAGGGACTCTGGCACAGGCCACAGAATGTACACAGGGTTCACAAAAGCAGGCCCTGACTATGAGCCAGCATCCTGCCTCTGATCCCTCTCTGCCAGTGGCCACACTTGCCCACATGGCTATCAGTACCTCTCGGCCTCTGCCCATTGTAAGTCCCCCCACCTGATCCCACAGCCAAGGAAAAGGCCCCAGGAACTGGAGCTCCTAGCTTCTCCTCAGCATGCTCGGAAAGGTCTGTTTCCACCAGCACCCACCACCCCCACTTTGACCATCTGCACTTAATGAGCAGTCAGGGAGGGAGACAGGTGGGGACGATCCCTTGGGCCAAGCAAAATACAGAGATGTCCACTCCTGTCATATGAAGGTATGCTCTGCCCTACCCTGCCCTCAAAGGCCACCAAGTACTCCAGCCATGGCCCCACTGGAGACTAAGCAGTGTCACCTGACCTTTCTGACGCTTTCTGAGAAAGAAACCCCAGAAGGAGTCCAAGGCGGCCCCTGGATACATGGAGCCCTTGAGACCCATCCCCCCACTACTGAGAACACAGGATCAGCTGCCAGGCCCAGTGGATTAACATACCCTCATTAGTCTGCATGACCAGTTCCCAGCAGAGAAGCTACAGGGATGGGCACACGTGGGTATGGTGCCTGGCACAGCCTGGCCAGGCTCGGCGGGGAGGGGAGTGCTCACAAGCCTGTCTGTCTCAACTGCAGCCCCAGCCCCAGTTGCTTATTGCCTCCCTTGTCTCTGTTGGACCAGTGTTCACAGGCCTCCCTCTCCCTTCCAGGGTAGGTCACTGGGTCACTTGGTGACTCATGCCTGTAACCTCTGCCCAGAGGTGGGGCTGTCACGACAGGTGGGAGGGTACAGACCAGGATTGTCACTATATACCTGGTCACCAGTGTCTGGGGGACTTTGCCCAACATACCCAGTAGAGCAGACTAGTGACAGAACCTCCTGGCTTTCACAGGGCCCCTTTGTTCTCCCTCAACCTGCCCTACCCATACACACCCAGCTTAGGTTACCAAATGGTGTCCACCTTGGGACTGCACTCAACCTGCCTGGTTGGAGGTGGTGCTCAACCAGACCCTGCCCCCACTTCCTTGAACACACTGCCTGACTCCTATCTCCCATTCAGCCCCAGCTAAAGATACCAAGGGTGTTAAGATACAGGTAAAGGCTGCCCAGCTGAGATGTCCACAGCTGCTGCCTCCCTGAGAGCAAACCCTCTACTAGTGGGGTGACTGCATGAGCAGGGTCCAGTCCAGATCTGAAATCCCTGGCTCCAGAAAGACCACCTCAGGGTCACCCACAAGAAGAGCTGGGGGAGGGGGAACTGGCTGAAAATGAAAGCAGGTGAGAGGGACACTCAAGCTGGCTTCAACTGAGGGAGGCAGGGCAAGTGCCAGCCAGGCTTGGGGCTTCAGGCTAGAGGGAGATGGTGTGGCTGAGAAGAGTGGAGAGGAGACGTACTTTCAGGTGGGAGCCAGGCTGAGGACCACTACCAGGCCACAAAAGTCAGGGTGGAGGTTACACTACAGGAGGGTGGGGGGCCCGAGCCCCAGGGACATTAACATGCTTGGTTGGGTGTGGCATAGAACCTAGAGGTGGGGAGAAGCAGCCAGACAGGTAGGAGCCTGGACAGGTGGTGCTCCACAAACAGGAGAGGCTTATGGCCCTCCCATGGGAGACAGGGATGAAAGGACCCCCCTCTTGCCAAGAAAACAATGGGGGATGGACAGGATGCAACACCCTCTACCAGGGAAGAGGCACAGGGTCTCTGTCCACTCTCCCAACAGATAACCTAAATGGAAATGTGTTTCTGCCAGGTTCCCTCCCAGGGACACTGATCATTGGAGGCAACACCCCCACCCAGAGCAGGGCTGCATCCCTCTGAAGCCATGATACCCTCTTGCCAAGCTACCAGCCCAAGGCAGGTTACCCAGTACCTTCCCCCACCCAGAAGACCCAATCAAGACCTGCCCCTCACCTGCACCCTAGAAAGCCACCAGCACTCCTACCACTGCCCTGGGGTCACATAGCCATGGGGGAGTCAAAGTGATCAGTGACCCCAAGGTCCTCTGGGCCCATCCACTCCCACCAGGAGGAAGCAGGAGTCCAAACTAGGCCAACAGCGTGGGCTTCAGAAACAGCCAGGAGCACCCTGAGCTCCCCCAGGGGCTATGGGCAGGAGGAATGTCAAGGGAAGGACAAAGTATGTGGGGGCCCTACCCTGCACAGGGCTCTGAAGACTGGGCAGCTTTATACCCTGCCCCCCATTCTATCTCTTGTTGGGCAGGGCAGCTGGTACATGCAAGGGCAGGATGTCACAGACAGCAGGTTATGCTGCTCTGGGAGTACCTGCCCAGGCCACTTGGCCATAAGCATCATCCATCTGGACCCCTAACTCTCTCAGGCTGGCTCAGAGACCAGGGCCAGGCTGCTGGCCAAGGCCCTGTCCCCAGCTCCTGCTAGCTTTCAGGCCCTATCCTGCTTTTTTGAGATCTGTGTGAAGCACCACACCCGTGGCCCTGTCCTTCTCACTCCAACCCAACCACAAATGACTCCCACAGTTGTCTGTGGACAGGGGGCAGGATAGCCAGCCTCTCGGCAACAGCCATCCAGTCCCAAAAAGAACCCAGGTTCAAGGTGGAGGGGTGTCCCAGGATTGGGCAAGATTCTGAAACGGAAAACTGAACTCAGCCCCTGCCCCCTGAGCCCCATGAGCTCCATGGCCTCCTGAGCCTCCTGCACCTCAGCTCCCTTATCTACATAAGGGGTGCTGTCATCACTTCTGCTTCTGGGACAAACATGGAGAGAGACCACCTCACTGTGATGCCAGTCAGTCAGGAGGCAGGGAAGGGAGTAGACAAGAAGTGGGAAGGGGCCTGAATCAGTCTCACCCCCAAAGACTCGGCACAGAACACTTTAAGAGTGGGAGAAACATGGTCTCATGTGACAAAAGTGTTACAGGCCCGAGTCCCCTCACCAGAACTCCTCTACAGATGATCACTGTGAGCTGGGCATGATGGTGCACACCTTTAATGCCAGCAGAGGCAGAGGCAGGCAGATCTCTGGCTAGCCTGGTCTGCATAGCGAGCTCCAGGCCAGCTGGAGCTATGGGGAGATCCTGTGCCCCCCAAAAAAACAAAAACAAAACAAAACCAAGATCATTATTGTGGATGCCTGAACCAGCAGATGGAACTGGCAGGAGAGCTGATGCCCAAGCCCAAGGAGAGGTTAGCATGGGTAGCAGAGACAAGGTCAACTGGGGCAGGAAGCAAACAGAGGGAGGAAAAACACAGGAGACGGTGTGGCTCATTGTAGGAGGCCTCAAGGAAATTGAGGTTGGGTAAGCCTAGATTCTAGATGTTCTGGACTGGATACTGCAGGCACCATTTCTCAGCAGCAGGAAAGGCACACCTGCCTGTACCAGCTGACTGAGAGTCATGTGGGACTGGCCTTGGAATTTGCCCCAGGGGACAAATACAGACCCTGAAACAATCAGGAAAAATCTGAGGAAAAATATGAGCTTTCCTTGTGCCCAGAAGGTTGGGAGTCACTGGCCAAAGCTGGCCAGGAAGTACGGTTCACCTGGCTGGCTGGCTGGCTGGCTAGCTATGAGCCTCCAGAAGATTGTTTTTGGGTAAGGCCCTCCTGACCAAATCTGACATGAAGCCTTGGTGCTCAATCCATGCTTGCACAAGGCCAAAGCCTGTCAAGCTTTGGCCCCTGTACCTTCTGGGGAGCTGAGAACCCCCTCCAACTGGCTTATGAGCTGTGTGCCCAGACTGACCTCGAAGTTCCATAGGACCATGTCATGTCAGGCTGCCTTCAAAATCAGGGCCAGGACAAAGCCCACAGGCCAGACTACTTTATGCGGCACTGGCTGGCCTGGAACTCAAGAGATCCACCTGCCTCTGCCTCTGCCTCTTGAGTGCTAGATTAAAGTTGTATACCACCATGCCCAGCCAATTCCATGTGGAAGCAGGAGCTCTGCACTGTGAGACCTGACCAGCCATCCCTTCCAGCTCTGAGGTACACAGTAGGCTGGCCGACCCCAGCCCTGGGCCATCATGACTGTAGGGGCCCTGGACCTGGCACAACCACACAGTCCAGGTTCTTCTTTGAAATGTGTAGAAACCCTCATGGGAGCATCTCTGTCCCCACCACTGACCTTCTTTCTTGAGGAACCAGCCTTGATTAGGCAGGACTTCTGTAGGGCCAGGTAGCCACCAATCACCTCGATTTCATGCACAGTGGGATAGCGCTTCTTCAGGGTGTTCTCCAGGGCAGTGTGGGGTCCTGCCAGGCAAACACCCTCCTCTTCCTCAGCCTCCTGTTGCTGAGGTTCCCCGTTGGCCTGGCTGACGGGTGATTCCCGAAGGGCCCCTGGCTTCCTCTTCGGCACCACTATGAAAGTATTGTTACCTCGGTGCTGGACTTCTGAGTTGTGCCCAGGCCTGGCAAGGCAGAGGTGGTACTGAGGAGGGACACTCACTGCTGAGCAGGGCAGTTTGGCTTCTTGGTGGGCCTCGTCCTCAGAGTCCACCTCATCGATGAAGGTGACCGGCAGTCCTAGCCTCCCAGGCTCCTGGCCATTCTTGGCCAAGCCAGGAACCCACAAACCCTCGGCAGGCTCAGCTTCAACAGTGGCTGGTAGTGATGGAGGTGGTGAGGATGGCCTCTGCCACCTGATAGACCTGTCTGTGAGGGCAGTGGCTGGCCTGGGGCAGCCCCCCTCCCTAGCTGCCCGCTGCACCTCAGCAGCCAAGGGACTCCTCCCTAAGGCAGGTGCACCATCCACTCTAGACACCAGCTGGGATCTGAGTCCCTGGCTCTGAGAGGCCCAGCCCACCTCTCCCTTTGGCAGCTCCTCTGACTGCCTCTCCTCAGAAGGATGGCTCCCAGAGGCTTTGCGCTTGGGGATCAACATGAAGGAGTTTCGGGAGTTCACACGAAGGTTGGCCAGAGCTCTGGCCTGAAGATCCCCCACTGGAATAGTCTCCATATCTGGCTTGGGGGCTGGCCTTATTTCGAAGGAGTCGTTGGAGCTAGTGGCAGAGGAGACCCACTGGCGCTGGCTGGGAGTGGCACTGGCAGGGCTGGGCACCGGGAAGGCAGGGTGCCCGGCTGGAGTGGCACTTGGGGTCCCAGAGCTGGGAGGCGGGTGGAGGGGGGGCTCCCCTGACTCCACCTTTGGCTTCCACTTGCCTGGCGCAGGTGGAGAGCCCTCGAGCATGTTGGCAGGGCCGGCCTGGGACTCTGGATTCGGCGACCCATTAGAAAGCTGGCGATCGGCTGCACAGCGAGGCAGGCCTCGGGGGTGAACAGTGAAGGAGTTGCTGCCAGTCTTCTGGAGGAAGTCACTGCGCCGGGCCCCGTGGCCTGCCCCGCCGCCGAAACTCCCGGGCTCGCTGCAGGCGGAGCGTTGGCCAGCCCGCACAGAGGCGGGCGCAGGCGGAACAAGGGGTGCCGGCTGGCTCCGGGGCACCGGCGGGGCGGAGGCCACGGGCCGACTGGTGGGCGCGCGCGGAGCAGCGGTTGCAGGACCCACCGGGAGCCCCGGCAGCGCGGAGCGGGAGCGCTCGGGACTCCTGCGGCGGCGGGGCGCGGCCGGCTGATCGAACTTCTCCAGCAGGCGGCTGACGCGGCCGGGCTGCGGCGTCTCGTACACCACGACTTCGGCAGCACGGATGCCGGCGGCGGGCGGGAAGCCGGGCGAGGACTCGATGATGAGGATGTTGTCGGCGCGGATGGTGCGCACGCCTGGCACGCGGTGGTACAGCTCCAACAGCTGCTGCTCCGGCTGCGCCCCTCGCCGGCGCTCGGACTCCAGCCGCATAAACGGGTTCTCGCGCAGCGGGCCCAGACTCTCCGCCAGCACTAGCCGCTCG